AGAGAGGGGGTGCAGGAGGGGAGGGCAGGGTGGCTTTCCTTGGAAGGAATGCACTCTTGAGGTTATGCTGACTTGTACTAGAATACAAGGCTACTGTAGTGGTAGTTGAGGGGTCTCACCTGTGGTAGGGGAGAGTGTCTGAGCTGCCTTCTTGGTGGATAATGTCTTATCATCTTGTAGCAGTGCTAAGAGGATGTGCCCATAGCACCCTAGGTTCAGACAGGTCAAGGCTTTGCCAAGGTCTTAGAGCTCCTGTACTGGAGTGCCCACATCTCGTACCAACCCTTCACAGGGATAGCTTCACTCTTCACCACGCTACGCTAGCTATGGACGAGTTAGCGCTTTATACTCCCTGGCTGCCCTGCAGCTTGGGGCATCAGCGGCAATCTGCACCAGACTCTGCGTGGGAGCATGCGGTTCCCAATCTAGGCCAAGGTTCAAGGGGAGGTGAGACCCACTGGGCACTGCATTTTGGGAGGGCTTCCTAGAGAAGTGGAGAGGAAAGGGGGGGGGCAGCTAGCAGGAGAGGGTCCCTGCCACTCGGTGCTGTTGTCCATCTCACCCTGCCTTCTTCAGCTCAGACCCAGCCGTCCCGCAGTGGCATCCGTGAGTGCCAGCAGTGAGGGAGGGAGAGCAGCCTTGCCAGGCTGAGCTTCCCAAGCCCAAGGGACACGCTGATTTGGAAAACTTGGCTCCAGTAGCTTCCTCCCTCTGGTCCAGCTCTCGGCTGCCTGGGGCTTAGCTCAGCCCACCCAGGCCCTGCTGCCCTCTGGGGCCAGAGCCGGATGTCTTGCCGATCTTTTGCCCTGAAATACCCTCATTGTGTGACCTCTGTTTTAATCCAGTGTGTCTTAGCTGCCCCCTCCTCCAAGATACCTTTTCTCACCTCCAGGAACTCTGTTAGGACATAGGAGTATCTAAGTCCATACTGACCAAAGGAAACAGAGTGTGAGCCACACATGGAAGTCATGCATACAATTAAGACAAAAAGCAGCTTGTGCATGCTTTTAGTCCCAGCACTTGAGAAGCTGGAGTGGGAGGGTCCCTTGAGTCTAGGAGTTCAACTCCAGCCTGCTGGGCAGCATAGCAAGACTTTATGTCAAAACAACAACAAAAACTCGGAACAAAACAAAAAGAACCAAATTGGGTGTGATGGTGCACACCCTTAAACCCAATAAACCCAGCTTGTGGGAGGCAGAGGGAGAAGGGTCCCCGTGACTCTGAGACTAGCCTGGTTGGTCTAGGCACTGTGTTCAGCGGAAAGGCCTTGTCTCAAAACGATGAGGAGGAGAGCACCTGATGAACTCCACATGCACTCACATCCATGTACATCCTCATGTGCACATACTACATGCACACAAAGCCAGGACTGGCATTAAGCTTAGCTTAGATAGTGTTGTCTAGCATGCCCAAGGTCCTGAATTGGATTCTTTGCAACACACACACACATACACACCCCAAATGACATTATTCTAATGAGATTTCATTTAATCAGATACATCTATAATTTTTAATTAATTAATTTTCTTTGCGCTAGTAACTAGGGCTAGCCTTGAAGTCCTGATTCTTCTGCCTCCATCTCTCAAGGGTTGGGAACCCATAGTAACATGCCTGGTCTCATAATATCAATACAAGGATGACTGGGATATATAACTTTCTCTTTAATTGTATTACACAGACTTCAAAATCCGCCATCTGTCTTATGTTTACTGCATGTTTCCATTTGTACATTCTGGGTAGTTGATAGCCACCTGCGGCCAGAGGCTCCCATGTTGATTAGCGCAGACCTTAAGGCCAGGGGGAGTCAGTTTGTGAGGGTTGGAGCTCCGGGTTTGGCATCAACTGGCTCTGGCGGTCACGTTCTAGCCATGCCTTGCGTGTCAGCAGGGTGAGCTTTGGCGTGCCATCAGTGCTCTGAGCCTCGGTCACTTCAGCTGGAAAGGGGATTAGTAATTTCAGGCTGGAGAATTGTCTCGGGGATTACTCACATGAATGTGTGTCTAGTGCCAGGCTCAGGGAAGGGCTCAGCGAGTGGCGGTGTGGTTAATCTGCCCTCCTCCCATGTGCTGGCGTGTGTGTTGTCCTCGCTCACTGGACCACTGTGAACTCAAGGGCACACTTCCCGGTTCTTCCTTCTCCGTGTCCGGGGATTGCCTCGGTGTAAGCGGCACTGCTGAGAACGCCTCTCACCTCTCCCTGTTCCTGCAACAGACCAAGCAGCCCTCGGTGATGCGATCCCTAGGCCCCTAACTACCTGAGGTAGCTTTGGCAGGTTCTATTTTGCTGGGGGCCTGAGTTCCTCCTCTGAAAGGTCCACGGATGTTGGAGGAGTCCTGTCTGACTCTGGTGCAGTCTCTGGAGGTCTTGTGGTCTTGGAGGCCTGGGGCTGATGCTGCGTGGTCTGCCTTCTCCCTGGGTCCTGGCTTTCATAGATCTTGGACTTTAATGCCTTCAAGTCCCCTTATTATTAAAATTTAAGAGAAAAGACTTTCTCCTCCTCCTTAGGCAGAGCAGGGAGGAAGTTCAAGCGCCCTGCCCTCCCTCTTCTGCAAGGCTCTGCTGAACTCCCATCACGGCATTAACAGATGTGTAGCAGGGAGTTCCTCTTAACTTACAAGCGATTAAACTGGGGCTCAGAGAGGTCAAACAGCTCGTGCAAGTTAAACAGAAGTGGGAGACAGAGCCAGCCAGGGCTGGAAGCCGACTAGTTCACATCTAAGGACACGGTGCCATAGGCTTTCTCACCAGGATCCCTCTATGGAGGCTTTCATGAGACATGGTGGTGTTGAATCAGTCCCATGCCTCAGTTTCCCTGCTTGGGGAGTGGAAGCAGAAAGTAACAGGATGGTGATTTCAACGATGCCTGTAGAACCATGCATTCTTTAGTGTCCCCAATGCGGTCTCTTATTTGTGGTTTCTCTGGAGAAATTATGTGGGGGAAGTGGAAGGGCCCTGGTCCAGAGAGCCCACATTATTTGTAGAGTGACCTTGACCAAATCACTTCCCACTCTAGGCCTTGGCTACTTATTTCTAAATTGCGGGAGGGGAATGACACTGTGTCAAATGATGCTGTGAAATCAAGTACTTTGCAAACCGGAAAGCTAATAGGAATAGAAAATAATCACAGAAAATGATGATAAAAACAATAGAAATAGAAGCAAGCATCATTCTAGAAGCAGCCCAGTTTTCAGCATGTTGCCACTGAGCGGAAGTGAATTGGGCCCTTTGGGTATGAATCCAAAATGAAGTCTGGGAACATCCTGCTTTGGTCCTGAAGTAGCCTGGGTTTTCCTGGGAAAGCGAGAGGCTCCATGTGGCTGATGAGGCTGGGAACCAGGCTCAGCCCCAGGGGAGGGCCGGGGGTGGTAGCAATGCCTGGGGAAGGGAGAGGGGGTGTCTGGGAAAGAGTTAAACTGTGAGGAATGGGAGGGCCTTGGCTTTGCAGCCTTGGGAGCCTGTGGTTGAGAAAGCAGAAGAGGAAAGGTTACCGTGGAAGCAAAATGCCGAGAGGCAGGCAGCGGAGGGAGGCTGTCTCCACAAATGTGCCCACGGAGCAGTGAGTTCCTCTGCTGTCACTCCTGAGCTTGGCAGATTGGTCCAGTAATGAATTCAAATAAACACTGAACTCAAATAGTGTATACTTTTAAGGGTAAGTGGTTTACCCAAAGGCCCTCCTCCTAAGGATCGGTGTGAGGCTTCCTGGGTGAGGGAAGCCAGGGTCTATCAGGGAGCACTTCCCACTTGGCTTGAGTGGATCTGTTTTCTACCTCTTGTCTGGAGCTGGGTGTGCTAGTGTTATTCTGCAAGACCAGAATGTCACTCCTGAGTCTGGTGGACAGCAGGCAGCAGCAAGGTCCTGGGAGCTACCTCTGGAGGCACCAGATGAAGGGAAGGCCTGGTTGGTGGTAGGGCAAAGGGACAGAGCTGTGGCTGCCTTGAATTCCCTAAGGAATTCTGGGAGAGGGCACGGCCTACAGAGTTCCAGGTTTGGGGTTAGGATTTATGTTACCCGGAAGAGAGAGGTTGGGGAGGAGGTAGGTGTGGGACAAGCTGAGCAGAGGTGGTACACACACACACACACACACCACACACACACAAGATAACACTGCCAACTGCAGTGTGTGGAGGGGGTAGATGACTGAGGGCTCAGACCACATCTGGGGGGCTTCACAGTTTCGGGATGTCCAGTCCTATGGCACAGAGCAGTGGCCTGCACATAGTAGGTGTGCAAGATCGTTAGAAGGATGAAAGAAGGGATCCACACATAGTAGGTATGCAAGGTGATTGGAAGAATGAAAGGAGGACTGAGCATGCCTGGTAATGTTTAGGGGTGAGGGTCACATGGGTTACTGTTGCAGACCCACGGAAGCAGTCTTTGGCGACCGTGTATGAGTTGTTTGAGTTGCTGCCAACTCTCCCAGGCCTTCCCCACAAAACTGGGGCCCAGAGACAGGTTTAGTTAAAATCTAATCCCTTCTTTCATGGTTTGCAAAGGAAAGCCTTGAGCACAGCAGCAACTGGCCAAGAGTACTTGCTGAACCAGTAGCAGAACTAGATTGGAACCCAGGCCCTCTATTTCCCAGAGTGCTCTGTGACTGCCAAAGGCTTGGATAAGAGGGAGGTGTCCTGGTGGAACTGGCTTTTTGAGTTGTAACAGCGCCGCGGGAGGGGAGGAGCAGGGTTTAGCTTGGCTTTGAGCCATGACCTCTGTGGCCCCTTCTTAGAACCTGGCTGCACACACCACGGTGTGCCCTTATATATAGTAAACATCTTTATGCAGGTCCAACCCCTACAGGATTCCTTCGCTGTTACACTAATGTCATGGTCACAGAGGCACGTACTGAGGCACACACACACACCCAGGAGACACTCAAGCCGGGATGATTCCCGGAAGGCAGTTGCCGTGCGGATTCCCTAGTGGGAGAGGAACACTACATCCCAGGCGGGTTGTGCCCCGCACTGGGCTGCAGGGAAGTGAAGGGGATCCGACTCCGTGGGATGGGAGGCCCGCAGAGGCTGAGTCACCTCTTCTGAGTCAGGGATCCTCCTCCTTCTTCTCCCCTCCCCCTCCCTCTCTCCCTGAGCCCCCACTAGGGCTTGGCCCAGCGAGCCCGCGAGCGAGCGAGCGAGGAGACCGGCTGTCCAGGGCCCGGGTGGAGACGGCCACTTCGGCCCGCAGTGGACCGCGGGTGGCTGGGACAGGAGAAAGGGCGGGGGAGGCAAGGCAGGCTGTCGAGGAGGCGGAGGCAGGGGTTGGGCGCCGCTAGCGAGGAGGCAGGCTCGCGGCCGCCCCTGGGCTGGGCACGGAGGCCGCGGCGGGGGCGGGCCGCGCGGCGGGCGCCAGGCCCGGGGCTGTGGGCACGGTGCCCAGCCCCCGGCGCACGCCGACCGCCGCGGCCGCCGCCGCTGCTGCAGTCGGCATCCATCAGCAGGCGGGGGTGTCGCGGAACAGGCTGCTCCGCAGAGCCCGCCCGCGCCGCCCCGCCCCGCGGCCTGCGGGCCCGGAGGAGCCGAGGGGATCGGCCCTCGCCCAGCCGGCCCGAGATGGGGACCCCCAGGCCCAGGTAGGCACATGGGGACCGGTGATCAGGTGGCATGGGGGGCCCGGGTGTGCTACATCTAGGCCCAGCCTCCAGTCCTCAGGGAGGAGAGGGGGCGAGATTACTAGCTGAGTCTGAAGGCTGTTGGCCCCCTTGGCCAATGTGAGGAGATCTTTACTGGTCCTCTCACCTTCGCAGCCTCCTCAGTGCCAGGAGTCGGCTGGCACCTTGGTGTAGAATGAGCCGTTGCGGGGCAATGGGCTCAGGAAGCTGGCCCACTCTGTTCTGGAACCCACCCCATCTGCCTTCCTTGGGTCTCTGGTCTTCTCTAGCTTTCCGATGCTGCAGGACAGTATCTTGGCTAGAGGCTGGCTGCTTGGGGGATCCCTGGTATCATCCTCATCCTCTGTTTACAGACCCTTACCCACTTGTATGGGCTCCCCATCCCTCCTCCTTTCCCTCCCTGAGCTGGGTGTATGAACCTTACCCCCAGCACCTCTGAGGATTCAGATTAGCATTGCCCTGCCGGTAGTTTGCACCCCTGATCAGAGGTAGATGCCTTGTGTGTGTCACACTTGGAGAGGTTGAGTCCCCAAGAGGCTGGGGTCTTGGGGACAGGTGTTTATTGGGTGCTGAAGCCACTGACTGGCAGCATGGGCCAGAGAGTCCACAGGGTCTTGAAAGCAAGCGTCCCAAAAGCATTCGGAGTCTTTCTCTCTAGGCCAGCCATGGTTCTCGCGTCTTGCTTCCCCTAGAGCTCTGCGGTGCACTGGTTCCTACGTGTTCCTACCATCACTCTGGGGTGTCGTGTCACCTCCCCTGCACCCCAAGGTGGGAGTGTGAAAGGGCTGGCTTCAGGACCTCTCTGGAGCTGGGCAGGGTCCAGCCGCTCCATCAGGCTGGCCTCTGTGAGCCTTAGCAGTTGGATGGTGGCCCTAGCTAGAGGTTCCTGTTCCAGGCTGGGGTATGTAGAATAGAAGTGCTATGTCCCTGTTCCCCATCCATGACTCCAGATGGAGCTTGTGACTGGCAACATCTAACGGCTTCTACCCAGTCCTGATGGTCCAGAAAGGCGCTGCCTGTCATGGAGTAGCTTCTTTTGGCCAGCCTGGGGTCCCACTAGCCGAGAAACTGGTGTATAAAACTTATGGCTCACCGAACACAATCCCTAGGATTTGGGGAACACCCGAAAGCAGTCTTGGAGGAGGTCACTGGGGAGGGCTTTGCTCCTGTTAATGCATTCCCCAGGCCTGTGGCAGTGCCCTGGCCCAGCTCTGTGAGCTTCTTGAAGGGGTCCTTCAGAAGAGCCCCATGGAAACAAGGCTGGGCTCTGTGGTTCTCACCGAGTTACTGGAGAAAGGAGGCAAATGACTTGTCCAAGGTCACACAGCTACTCATTGAGAGAGCTAGCACTAATGTGTTCACGCCTTGAGCTTTTTGATTAAGGCTTCTTCCTTGCCCACAGGCCTGCTCCCTGGCTGCTGTGGTTGTTATTCCATAACACTCTGCCAGGGGCTGTACATTAAAGGCTGGAGGCCATGGCCTCATTTTAGGAGAGCCCTCACATTGCCTCCCAGCTCTTCCTGCTCCCGTGAGCCGAGCAATAGAGGCCAGGTCATAAAGGGCCTTGAGTACTCTTGGAGTATACAGAACAGAGAGGATGCTGGGGGTCCAGAGGTATTCTGGGCTTGAGCCGCCAGGGACAGTCAAAAGGTCTCTTGACTGGACAAACTGCAGTGGGAAGGGCCTCTTTCGGCTCCAGCCTCACACTTCTGTGGGCCACTGTCTAGACTTCTCTGCACTCTTTATTAAAGGGAGGTGACCATTTCAGCCTGGAGCACTACTGGGGACTGTACAATCAAAGAGATGGTATTTACTGGGCACCTAATGTGTGCTGTGCCCCAATAAGTGCTATGTGTCCTCTCCCAGCAACCCTATGAGATAATATTAGACACTTTGACAGATGCATGGAGGCTCAGAGAGGTTACCTGCCAGAGGCCACACAGCTGGAAAGTATGGGGCTGTAGGAGTCTGCGTTTACCATGACTGTGTTCCTGGGACAGTGTCTGAGAGCACCTGGTTAGTGTCTAGTTGAACTCCGTGATTAGCTGGCAGCCTGGGCTGATCCAGGTAGGGAAGCCCTTGCACTGAGTCTGTCAGAGAGGCAAGGGTAGTTCTGTGGCTCCAAGGCCTCCAGGAGTAGGGTCAAAGAGGTATGAATGGGAGGGGTTAGCATCGGCCTTCTGCTTGCTAGCTGGCCCTGTCACTTGCCCCCTGCTACATTTGGTAGAGCTCCAGCGGCCAGAAGCTACACAGAGGAAATGTCGAAGCACCGGCCGGGACTGTATCCCCGTCAGCAAGGACCTATGCCTGGCTGGGGGTGGCAGCAAGCTGGCCCTGCTTTCCTTGTAGGAAGGAGACTTTTGGATAAGAATAGCAGCAGCTAACATTTATTGAGCTCTTACTACATGCCAGGAACTATTTTCATTTCTTACGTGTACAACTCCTACATTCCTCACAAAACCCTGTGAGGTAGCAATTTTTCTTCCTCCCACTTTGGAGATCACTTTATAGGTTTACTGAAGGCCGCTGAGGGGTGGGAGAAGCAGGGTGGGTCAGAGCCGCTTCCCAGAGTTTGTGTAGACAGCCAGCCTGTACCGTCTAGAGGTCGTTTTTGGTTTTTTTCACTTGGAAGCAGTCATCCAACCAGCTGCATGCCATTCCTCAAAAGTCTCAGGTCTAAGCTGGGCATGGGCTCATTTTGGTCATAGCAACACTTGGAAGGCTGAGGCAGGAGGATTGCCCTAAGCTTGAGGCCAGCTTGAGATGCAGAATGAGCTCTAAGCCAGCCAGCATTATGTCACATAGTGAGATTCTGTCAACCAAAAAATGAACAAAAGGAAAGGGCCCGCGAGATGCCTTAGTGAATATAAGTGCTTGCCACACAAACTTGGCGATCTGGGTTCCATCTCCAGTGGATGGGCGGACTGATCCCTGAAAGTTTGTCCTGTGACTGCTGTGCGCATGCCATGGCACGTGCGCATGTGTGCATGCCTGTGCGCGCACACACACACACACCCCTCTCCCGCTCTGTAAGTCATGGATGACAGAGCCATCCTGGCCCCAGAGGTAAGAGTACACTAGAGTGTCTGCCCGTTTTGATGCTCAGGGAAGGCTTCGAGAAGGGCTGGACACTTAAGCTGGCCACTAAGAGTTCGAACATTGTAGGGGTGTGGAGGGAAATGGATGCCTTGAAAGAAGAGCAGGTGACACCGGGTGCAGGAGACAGAGTCCAGGGAGGGCCCAAGGAGCTGGGAGGTGACTCAGAAAGTCGGCTTGTGCTGTGTCTCCGAGCAAGCTCTGGAATTCACTCTGCTGGGTACCAGCTCTGTGGCCTTGGAAACGTCACTTGGAAGCAGGTTTGGGCTTCATTTTCTTCATTTGTAAAGTGTGGCTGTGGGACCCTCGTGGTGGTAATTACGGAAAGGCTCACCGTGGTGCTAGCACATCGCAGCAACCCTATAAGGATTTTCCTCTATCCCTTCTGTCTTAAATGTCAGGCAGAGGTATTTGGGCTGGATGTGAGGCTGGAGGTTCTGGGGACCTTTGGAGGGATTTGGCCTGCAGAGGAGTGTGGTAGGATGGTGTTAGGGGAAGGTCGCTTTGGCAGGTGTGTGGCCCACAAAAAAGGGGCAGACTGTGACCTTGCCAAGAAGCCTCCTCTTGGAGTCTTAGCCTGGGAAGGGAAGAAGGTCGAAGCTGCATGAAGATGTCCCTCCGTGGGATGGCATGTGGCTTGCCAGGTTGAGGGAGGAACAGTATGGTGGTGCAGTGTGGGGGTGGGGAGAGCCATGGGGAATTCAGCTTGAGGCTTGGTGAGAGAGGGAAGGGCTGGTCTCCTGTCAATCATTCCGTGGTCTAGGCAGCATCTTATTTGAGCATCTGGCTTTTTTCTTTTGAATGAATTCCTTTGGATAAATCCCCATCAGAACTTGTCTATAATAGCAGCAAATTGGGACTAAATGTCCAACAATAGGAAGATGATTGAGAGCGTTTTGGAACATACACTGGATAAAATAATATGCAGTGGTGAACAGCCGCTGATCCCCCTCCTCTCAGAGCACAGAGCTGGCTGCTGCACAGCCCCTTGCACCCTTTATGCCTCTCATGCTTATGACTGCTGGGTGCCAGAGGGGCCGTGGCTTCCTTCCTTCTGTGATTGAAAAGGTGAAGACTTGCCTCCGTCCGCCTTGAGGGCGGGATTCGTGTTTCACTCCTTTCTGGGTCATTGGCACGTTGCTCCGTGATCAGAAATGATTGACTGGTGGAAAAGGGAAGGGGGGAAGTGATTTGTTCAAGGTCATGTACTTTTTAAACTTTATTTTCAGTTTGTAAAAAAGACTTATTTTTATTTTATATGCTTGGGTGTTTTGCCTGCGTGTGTGTCTGTGTACTGCATGCATGCCTGGTGCCTGCCGAAGCCAGGAGAGAGCATCAGATGCTCTGGAACTGGGGTTACAGGTGGTTGCGGGCTGCCATGTGGAGGCTGGGAATTGAACTCTGGTCCTCTGGAAGCAACCAGTGCTTCTAACAACTAGGGCATCTTTGAAGCTCTATTTATTGTGTGCACGTGCACATTCCTGTGAAGGTCAGAGGATAACCTTTGAGAATTGGTTCTCTCCACCATATGGGTTCTGGAAATTGAGCTCAGGTGCTCAGGCCTTGAGGTGAGTGCCTTCACCCTCTGAGCCATCTCAAGGCTCCGGTCATGCAAGTTGTAAGATCCAATAGTTGCCACATCCTTACCACCTCTGTTTACCACATTCTCCTCATTTCCTACCCAGTATATATGCTCCTCGACTGACATGGAGCTGCATCCCTATAAACCCGTTGTAACTAGAAAAAAGAAACCCTACGTTGACAATTCATTGAATACAATGAGCCTTCGAGTTGAGTAGCACAGTATAGCATAGAGCGGCTGTTCACCCTCATCATTAAAGCTGACTTGGAGCTGGGACTCCCTG